ACGAACGAACGAACGAACGAACGAACGAACGAACGAACGAACTAATGAACGAACGACTGATCGACCGACTTAACAAATGAACGAACAAAAAAATGAATAAACAAACAAACAAATAAATGAACAAACAAACGAACAAATAAATGAATAAACAAATAAACGAACGAACAAACAAACGAACGAACAAACGGACAGACGGACGGACGGACGAACTGACGGAAGGACGGACGGACAAACGAACGAGCGACAAATGACTAAACAAACAAATGAACCAAGGAACTAACAAACCCAAGAATGAACAAACTGATTAATCTGTAGCATAGTAGCAAGTCTATAACCATTACCCATTGAAATGTTTTAGCTGAAACTTGTGTACAATGTTGAGAAACAAGTTTCACAGAGGGGTTACATGGCGCATTTTCGTAACACCGCTTGGAAACTTATCTCACAATTCCAATAGTTCAACATGGTTGGATTGCCATTACAATTACCTGGAAATTAGACTTTTATTTGGAACYATTTGTTCTAGTGATGATGTGCCAGTAATAAAAAAGGTTAACAACGGCGGATCCTTGTCGGTTGTTAATTGTGATATAATGCTTGCTGGAAATGATACAGTGATATCGCCCGTCACCTTGACCATACACCTATGAGAGACAACACAGCAATGTTACCAATCAGGGCTCGGTTGTACGAAGCCATGATAGCGTAATCCGGTGGATAAATCCTTATCCAGTGGATAAGTCGATGCTGTTATGCAATAAATTTATCCACTGGAGCGGAGCGGATTGCTTCTCGACACTTCTCTCGTGTTCTGCTAATCCCTAAGTGCTTTATAACTCTACAGAGTACAGTGATTAAGTTTTTTAAATAAAAATGCATAGGGCGCGTGCGTACTGTGTGGTCTCATAAAGTACGCGCTCCCAACCAATGAGAATGCGAGATTTATAACAGTTATTTTATCATTCATGATAGCGGGTTCAAAAACGTTTTTTGGCATAGAGGAGCAGTTGATTGGAGATATGAAATTAAAACATGAAGTCTTGAAAGCCACATTTGACTTCCCAGAATCACTGGTCACTCGTGGCGTGAATTAGTTGTAACAATTCTCAAGGCATCGTTTTGTTCTAAAATAACAAGTAACAGATAGCTTACGCTTTGTGATCACTTCCTCTGAAGAAAGCATTGACAGACTCAATAAACGCCACAGCAATAGGCAAAACATCTTCCCTGGAAGCACTGCTATGAGACACAGAGAGAACCTTAGTAGGTCCAGAGGGCATAGACCCCACTGTCTTGGACCGTATCAGGCCTGCCGCATTCTCCTGTATCTCATGTGACTCCGACAGCCCTTGTATCGACGTGGTTGTCACAGCTCTGGTCATGACCTGAGTGGTCGTATCAGATGTTGTTGAGCTCGTTAAAGCAACAGACCCAACATAGCTGACTTTGGAAGGCGTTTTAGRTGTTTTAGRRCCACCGTCTTCACAATCGTCCTTCTCTTTGGATGAAGTAGTAAAATCCGAATCCGAAAAGAGAGAAAATAGTTCTTGGGAATATGACATGCTTGATTGGTTCCCTTGAGAAGATGATGGTTGGGTTGCCAGGGTGAGTCCAGGTTTCTTTTGACCCCCCTGTGGGCGTGGTCTTGCTAATGCCGTGGCTGTAGAGCCAGCACGCGGGATTTCACCTGGGCCAGGTGGCTTCATCAAGAATGGWAGAGTTGCGGTGGTTGATTTGGATGATTCAGAAGAGTTATTCAGTGYACCTTTACTGTCTGAAAAAGTAGATGTATACACTTATTTCAATAAAGTTAGTCACCAAAAACCTAGAAAGCTGAGATCACTGAGCATCATNCTTACTTTGATATGACTGTAGTCCAGCCCCATCCCTCTTGGCTGGTAGAGGGGGTGGGATGTTCAGATCATCATTTGTTATGTTCGGGTTGTTGCCGAGACTTCCTTTCTTCTTGGGTAAGGCTGGTGGTGTTTCGTCATCTCCATTACCATTACCTTCACTTGGATCTCCTGCAGAATATAATAATTATTACAGTATATAATAAGTACAAGAGCATTGCTACCTTGAAACAATCTCTGGGCTGA